GGAGACAATTGGTGACATGGCTGAAAATCGTTCTCAATGGCTTGACCAGATGGATTCACTCCTTGTGACTTATGATTTCCAATGAGACTCTATTGTTCTTCGTTATTACTATTCCATTGTCTCACACCTCTGTTTACTGTCTCTATTATGCATTTGTTCTACTTTCTTCTGTTGCTTTGTGTGCTGCTTGGAGGGAGTGTGACGACTTGAACTGGTGCACATTGGTGCAAAGTTCTATGTCGAAAACAGACAGACAGAATTCCCAATTGTCTGTATCTTCTTCTGGAGAGACTGACAAATGATTTACAATTGTTGCTGCGTACATACATGCAGACACACCACTCTATACCTCATATACATATATATTTTTTGTGAAAAATTCAGTTATCTACGACCATGAACTTTAGTCGAACTTAATCACTAATAATCTGATGAAAACCTACACTCTGTGTAAAGTGTTTAACAAAAGTAGATTAATATTTTTAATGTTCATTTTGTATGCAGTTGCCATAAAGCCTTATTCGTTCACACTGAATGACAGTTTTACATCTCAGATTTAAACGACCGTTTAGAAGTTTTATAGTATTATTGAATTGAATTTTTGATTTTCCCGTCGACTGATTAGACCGAAGTGCTCGGTCTCAGGTTGACATGTCGGCTTCTTGTGCAGATGCTTCGACGATGTCTGGGGATTTGATTTGTATACAATCAGTGGATGGTGGCTAGCAGTGGAACTCAGGATGCGCATTTCGTCCTAATTGGGACTCGTCATCTGGATGTACCTGCACTTCTCAGTGAGTGATGAGAAAAATTCAATTCAATAATTAATATGACCCGTTGCACAAGAAGTGGCTCTCGTGGCCCAAGTGGTCTAGTGGATAACGCTTTGGCGTTTGAAACTATGGGCACTTGGGTTCGAGCCTCGGTGGGAACATCATCACTCACTGAGAAATGCAGGTACATCCAGCTGACGAGTCCCAAATAGGACTAAATGCGCATCCTGGATTCCACTGCTAGCCACCATCCACCAATTTTATACAAGTTTTATAGTATCTTTAGGAAGCCTTCGTTTTAGAATATTAAAACAATTAGTCCTTTGATAAATTTGAGTAAGGCATTTAGAAGACAAATTTCGCGAGATGATATCAGTTCAGTTATGCAGTTGACAGCTCAAAGACTTCGACCAGCCATCAAACGCATATTCTACGCCACATCTATTTCCCTCACATGCCGAACATTTTCGATCCTTGTTCCTACGATTAAAGGACAAAATTCTGTGCACTCTACTTCAAACTGTATCTACAACGTCACCTGCATTTGCAGTGATCTGTATATGGGTAGAACCAATATAATGTTCCAATGTCGTCGAAAAGAACATATTCCAAAATGGTTATTTAGACATATAGAAAATCCCAATGCAATTATTAATTTGAATAGAAATTCATCATCGTCGATTGCAAAACACTTATTAATATCGGGTCACAAAATCAATATTAATGACTGCTTTACAGTTATTTTACATAGCTCTAATTCAAGGTTATTGAAGGTGATGGAAACACTTTGGATTAATCACAAGCATCCTAAACTGTGTGTACAAAAATCAATAGACTTTAAATTTCGCCTACCATGGACTACTTGACCTATTTAAATATTATTAGTCAGTAGTATTGTACTTTTGTTTTATATAACTGAGTAATTTTCATGCATTTTGTTTCATTATTATGAACCATGTTAGTTGTAAAGTGATTGTAGAGAAACTACGACATCAGCTCGCGAAATTTGTCTTCTAAATGATTTATTTATATTTATCAAAGGGACTAGTTATTTTAATAACACCCAGTGGGTGCGTAGTATTATTTTAATTTCCGTGATGTTCGAACCAGTTTGCAGAACGAAACTTTGGAATTATTCACTTCAATTTCTCTAAGATTTTACAAATATAATTTTTATATACGTCTACTTCTCACTCGGCGCCCAATTATTTTAGAAGTATTCTGTCAAATTTTGATCATAGTTCACATGAAGTTAAAGTAAACTGTTTCACTAATAATTTAAATAACTCCGTGTTAAATTATCTGTCGGAGAGAAATATATGAATGGGTGATTCTGCTACTCACCTACTCAGTTTTAAGAAAATATACGTCAATTGGGCGGTAATTTTATGGCTTGGGTGTGACACAATGCGTATCTGAAATCTGTTAACAGCCTTCAGTAGTCTGATGAAAAATAACTCGTGTGGCTTCGAATGTGTTTTGTAGTTCAGTTTATGCAGATGTTGTACTGCTAAATCATGGACAAAGCAATAATAGTCCATAATACTTCTTCATATATTTTCTGTGCTTTGAATTTTCTGCAGCGACTGAATTGATTTTTCGAAACTCATCTGTTTTTCTAGGCTTGAGATCAGCTAGTAAACTAGGCGAGATTAAAACCAGGGAGTGCTGAGCAGCTGTTTCGTTCCCGTTTGAAACTCTTCAGCAGTACTCACCCTTGCCCCCAACAAGGATCAAACCCAGGGTCTTTTTGGATTATGAGGCGAGTCTGTTGACCATTTAATCACTGGGATAAGTTTTTTCATTTGTTTGTGTTTCTAGTGAAACTCTGGATTCTAAGCTTGAGTTTTGAAGTTTCGGTTGTAGTGATGTTGTTTTACCGGGTCGGCATACCATCGTCTGTCTTAGTCTCTGAGGAGTGTATGTGCCAACAATTGGACTTAGACCACGTATATGGTTGGTGAGCATTGTACGGCTGAACCACCGATAACTAACCTTGTAACCAGAAGGTCTTGGGTTTGAATCCCGGTGGATGCGTACTGATGAAGAGTCCCAAACTAGGACGAAACAGCTGTCCAGTACTCCCAGGTGGTTTTCCGATGGTTCTCTAACTGATGTCAGCTCATGATGAAATCCTGTAACCCATCTATATATCTATATCTATCTATTAGCAAGTGAGATCATCTTCAGTAACACTACATATGATCTCGCTAATGAGTTTTGCATATTACTACCGAAGATCTCAAGGATTATTGATAATAAGCATTTCTGCTTTGAATAACTGCCACAAAAACGTGCAAATACAGAAACATGACAAAAGTAAATGCCACCGTTGTCTTTCGATAGTGTATTTAAGAGGACACTGTATGCGTATAAAAATACTCACTCCAACGCAATTATACAGACCAGCCATCCAACAGAATCAGTACCTCAGGTGATTATAAATCAATTTCCTCAGAGTATTTAAAAAAAATTGTACAGCTGTAGCTCATTGTTTCATGTACTTGACTTGCAACCTTTGGGTCACGGGTTGCAATCCCGGTATACTTACTGAGGTGCAGGGCTACCAGTTAGTATCATTAACCATTACACAATAGATGTCGCTTATTGTCGGTTGCACAAAGATGCAAGTAGTGAAACTCAATATGCTTCTGAATGGTGAATAATTCAGCAGACCATAAAATCGTCAGTTTAACAGTAATTTCAATGTAGAAGACTAAAGAATTGACCGAAAACGTGCCTAGTTAAATCCTCATCTATGCTGCTACATTCACATAAATGGCAATTTTTAGGTTAATACAGAAATTTACCAAGCTAGTTGGGATTATTTGTCAACAATAATCAATATCAACATGTCAAACAAGAGTGTTAATCAACCAAGAAAATTAATTCTCAAGTATTGATTTTGTATGGAATTTTGTTTGATTGGTTGAAGGATTTCATCATGAGCTGACATCAGTTGGAGAACCATTGGTAAACCTGCAGGGAGTACTGGATAGCTGTTTCGTTCCAGTCTGGGACTCCTCAGTAGTACGCACCCACCGGGGTTCGGATCCAGGGCCGTCTTGTGTCAACTCATGATAAAATCCAGCAACCAATCAAACAAAATTCCCCGCAAAACCAATACTTGCAAATTAATCTGATGCTCAGTAGCGACTGGCCCTATTCAGGCAGTTACCTGGGAAGGTGAGGCAGTAACTCATCGAAGAAGACATTGTGAAGTGGTTGCGCTGTTTCTAGAAAATTAATGCCTACAATTAAAGAGCAGAAAAAGCTCAAAAACTAAATAAGTGGATTACAAAATGCAAAATTTTAATAAAATAAGGAGTACTTAAGAAGTAAATGAGTCTTCGAATTGATTACATAATAAGCAGTTAAGGGTGAAGTAGTCAGCAAAATAAAATATTTTGGACAATTATAATTTGTAAAAGACTTAAGGGGGAAGAATGGGAATTAACAGTTTTTTTTCCATTCATGCAACTGATAACCAAGATAAGAATTTTTCATGATCACATAACGGGTCTGACTGCTTCAGATGGATTCAGATGACTTCAACTGTATGTAGAAGACAAACAAGTCGTAAAGCAAAATTAATATCAATTGGATAGAATCAGATTTTGTTGGTTCATTAGCTCGGAAACAGTTCAGTACAGTATGTGATGTAGTCCTTCTTCATGATACTAGATGGTTGCAGGGGATCGGCACGAAGCCTTACTTGATCTAGGTTTGTGCTAGTTGGCACTCACCACTCAGCAAGGCGTATCTACAACCTTGAAAGAACTCATGTCCCTTCTGAGATTCAAATGCGCGTCATCCAGTGCTGCAATCAGAGACGTTATCACTGAGCTATTCGGGCTCGTGATTGACCTCCTGTAGGACTGTATTAGATACTTTGATTGGACATGAGTTCCTTCAAGGTGATTGGAGATACGCTTTGCTAACTGGTGAGTGCCAACTAGCACGAAACCTAGGTTCAAGGTTTCTTGCTGATTGCTGCTTCCAACCATCTAATATCAACAATTCAAAGTGCGACGTTATGGCAAACCACCTAGAATGGTGGTCACATTGCAAACCTGACTGATAGAATTCAGTCTGCACCAAAGGTAGAACTAGACATATCACACTGGTTACTAACCAGTGTTCAATGAAAAGTATCCTACTTCTCATTTTTAAAGTTATGAAGAGTATTCAATAACATTATATCACATCGTTTTTTTTCTTTTTCAGAGTATTCATATGGGGGACATCCATTAACCAACTCTGGGATATTTGCTATGTTACCTAAAGATAGTGCTTATTTAGGTGAAAATTATTCCTATAAGTGAGTATACTTGTGTTGAATTTGTTGAAAAGACAGTCATTTGTATATGGTTGTAAAATGTTGTGTTTCAACCCTTTACCTCCCTCTCTCTCTCTGTACATATAAGACAATTAACTTGACACCCTTTCAATTTTATCTGAACTCTGTTCAATCCTGTCAATTATGTTAAGTCTATCAATCTACTTGTTTTATTCCCATCTGTATCATGGGATTGCTATCTAAAACTTATAATCTTAATGATACATCTTAAAAAACATTCCTTTTGTTGCGTAGACTTAGCGGTTCTCGGGAGGCACAAACACGAGTGTATTGCTCATATCTTCACCCTTCGACAGATTCTGCAACATAAGCGTTCTTACCGGCGTCCAGAAATCTTTATATTTCTTGACCTTAAGGCGGAATTCGATTCTGTCGACCGAGAGGTACTCTGGCGGATGCTTGGCTGTAAAGGGAATTCCGAGAAAATACATTGCACTGATCAAGCCACTCACTCTACTCGAACTCATGCAGTCAGCCAGGTGAGGGTTTAAGGCGAGTTGTCACCTGAAGTGGTGACGACTAGTGGTGTCCGTTAGGGATGCCCATTATCCCCATTTCTATTCAATTTCATCATAGATGTGCTAATGGACTTAACCCTAACTCAATTCAGAGACTCAGGGATTGACTTGTTACCAGGGAATGATAGTCTCGTTGACTTAGAATATGCATATGATATAGTCCTTGTAGGTGAAGACGCTGACAAAATGCAGAGTCTTCTGAACACCTTGTGCTGCTATCTGCGAATGTTTGGGATGCGATTCGCTCCCGCCAAATCCAAGATGATGCTACAGGACTGGACTACATTGACTACTAGCTTACAAATAAGGAGTGAAGTGGTATAGCGTGTTGACCGGTTCACTTATTTGGGAAATTGCATCAGACAATGCCATTGGGTTGATCACTGATGAAATCTTAGCACGGATACAGAAGGCTAGTTTTGCATATGCCAGTTTACGCCGTCTGTGTCGTAGACATGATATCCGGCTGGCTGTCGACCAAAGGGCAGATGTACTGCTCATCAGTCCGCTCCGTCCTCCTTTATGGCTGTGAGCGCGACCTGGCCGTTGAGAGTGGAAGACATGGAAAGATTAGCTGTCTTTGATCATAGGTGCCTGCGTTCTATCTCTGTGTGAAGTGGTATAATAGGGTGAGCGATATTGAGATTAGGCTTCGGTCGAGTGCTAGGTGAATAAGGAGGGGAAATCAATAGACGAGGTTGTGAAATTACATCGATTGAGGTGGTTAAGACATGTGTTACGCATGCATAAGTAGCCATTGCCTTCCTCGACGGGCAACGTTAGGTGACATAGGGTTAGGTTGGAGAAGTGCCAGTGGTGGTCAAACCAAAACATAGCTTCATCAGTCAATGAAATCCACAACAGTTTTTTCAAGCTAGCCACGCAGGAAGGTGTAGACTTCCAGACAGGTTGGGGTCCTCGGGACGGTAAACGCCGATGGCTGGAGGCAATTGGTGATTTGGCTCAAAATCCTCGTTCTCAATGGCTTGACCAGATGCATTCACTCCTTGTTACTTATAATATTACTATTCTTTTCGCCTCATATCTCTGTTTACTGTCTCTATTTTGCGTTTCTTTACTTTTCTGGCTTTGTGTGCTGAGTGAAGTGTGGTGACTTGAACTGGTGCACATTAGTGCAAAGGTCTATGTTGAAACCATTCAGTCTGTCATGAAGATAAGTAATTTAGAAAGAAACTCACTAATCACACTACATGCATCAACACACAATCACATAATAAGGTGGGACAGAATCAGAATTTGAAAAAGTAATACAGGTAGGTGGAGAGAGAGATATTGATTACTGAATCCTACCTGGTTCATCGAATCTGTACCCAACACATGTAATAGAAGTGACTCAACGCAAATAAAAGAGATATGGAAGATATTATTACCACTAGTCAAATCAGAGGAGGATAATAAATAATGTTAAAATGTATTCAATTCACGTTATTACACTCTAACAAGTTATTTATTTTGCTGAAGAAACGTCTTATTTCCCATCTTATTGACTAACAACAGTTGTCTTAATCCCTGCCGTATCATACTCATTGATTACACTAATATTGTTCCCGAATGTGCGTCGGTGGCACAGTGGTTAGGACTCTCGCCTACCATGCACGTGGTCCGAGGTTCGATCCCCTGCCGACGGACACCTGATATCAACGGTTGGCCTGCGAAATTTGGGCTACCTATATCCCTGTTGAAAATTCCATACTTGTACCAAAAATGCTTTGTGGAATCAAACTGTCATCAAAAGTAAAATAATGTCTTATATTCTGTTATGTACTGGTCGAGAATTTAATAGTCCTGATGCAAGAAAGACGGAAATCAGAAGACCACTAGGTTTGCAATGATACTTCTATATTCCAAACACAAGGAGAATCAAAATATATCACACAATAGTGTGAGAGCAAAATATAAGAATGTCCGAACAAGTGTGTGAGCGAATATTCAAAATGAACAAATCAATAGACAGTCTTAACATGACTGGCTAATTATAATGGAATATCGATCCATATATACCTAGCAAAATATATCAGACTGTCAAACAAACACACATATTATATGGATACATATCATATTCAAATGTTTAATCGCTTTTAGTCATGTATATAAACGAACCACGAAAGTTGTGTAAGTAGCCTGATATGATTATAAGCAGTAATAAATTGTGCTCAAAATGTCCTCATCGGCATATATTACTGTATAACACTATGTGACTTTATCAAGATAAAATTTTATCCATAATCGAATTATGCTTTACCACAGTGCCCAAGTTTTATTCCTATATCGATGATTTATGACTCATATTAGTTTGTTTATTAGATGTATCACACAGTGAAACAGTATTATTTACTGAATGATGTTCCGAACGAAATTTATTGTTCATAATCACTTCATCAATTATAATCACGCGACTTTGAAACTTGAGTTTTATAGTTTTCTTTGTTTTCTCCTATTTGTCGTCACTGGGGTAGTAGAATTTTCCAGATGCCCGACTGAACAGGTGTTGAATCATTCCTATTACGTGTATTTGCAGTTGATTCGATAAACAAAGCTTCTGTTATCAATCTCTCCCTCCACCCTGCTGTGACATTAGATTTTGAAACTGTTATCCTTGTAGTGATAGTGATAATAATAATAATAATATTAATGACGAAGTGTATGTCAAACATGCTCAGGCTAATGAAAACACCAACAACAGGGAATTTATATCATCAGTAGTAATTCCATACAAAGAAGGAACCTCCGAAAACTCACGAAGAATTCTTAACAATCCAGGAATATAAGTGGCACTCGAACCTCCCACAAACTCAATTAGAAACAAGCTATGTTGGTTAAAGGATCATCCTGTGGAGTCAGTCAATAAAACAAAACGATTTAATTTATCTAATTACCCTGCCTACAATGATTGTCAAGTCAAATACAATAGGTCAAACTAGTAGAGCAGGGACAGTCAGCTGAATATAAAAAACCTAGCAGCAAAATCTAGATTAGTTGACCCGAATAAGATAAGAAATCTAGAGAATAGTTCAGCTATAGCACTCACTACCATGCAGTTACACACAACCACACAATAGGCTGGGATAGGATGATAGTTTTAAAATCTAATGTCACAGCAGGGTGGAGCGAGAGATTGATAACAGAAGCTTTGTTTATCGAATCAACTGCAAATACGTGTGATAGGAATGATTCAACACCTGTTCGGTCGGGCATCTGGAAAGTTCTACTACTACAATGACGATAAACAAGAGAGGACAAAGAAAACTATAAAACTCAAGTTTCAAAGTCGTGTGATTATAATTGGTATGATATATAGTTGATTATTCTTTTAAGCCTATTCAATAATGCATTTTTCTGTTTCTTCTCCTCTAGGTTAACACTAACCATTGGATATACTGACTTTACAGCTTCAGATGTGAATCTTTTATTGGAGAGTATGACACCAGATTTCAGTGGTGACCAGTATCATTTATTGCATAAAAATTGTAATCATTTTGCAGATACATTTGTTCAGGTTAGTTTTAATCTTTTTTTTCTGTGTTTTTCATTCATCAGTTTAGATTCAATAACGTTGTGCTTGTGCTTGTGTTTATTTTTATTTTTTTCATATCAATTGGATGTAACTACTTGTGGAACTGACTTTTTTTTTAAAAAAAAGTTTGAAATATCCGCGCTAAGAAAATATGACTCATTAAAACAAAACTGCATAGTTAAATTCAGTATTCCACTTGTTGAATTGGGGTGGATAGTTTTAAGTGAAAAAATAAAATTACTTTACAATTTTTTTTCTAATAATCGAAATTAAAATCTACGTTTCGGCCTTAGGGCAATTATTAATTTTTCAGTCACGAAATCTTTCCTCTTTTTTGAGTTCAGTACTCTTTTTTTTCTCGTCTAGTTTTTTTTTTGGTTTTTTAAATTTATTCAATTGTAGGAAAGTAATAATTCTAGTTATAATCGTATATTTATCATCATATCTTTGTTTCCCCTTTTACTGCATTATTACTCACTTTTTTTTATTGTTTTTGAAGTTATGAGAATAGAATAATGATGATTGAAAAGTGGGATAACATGTATAGAGTAGCTGTGTCGTGCATGCATTCCATTCTTTCATGAAGTTCTCTGTTGTTATTCACCTAGTTTTACATTCATCGTTGTTTTCTGTGTATAAATGTTGTGTATGTGTGTGTGACCATGGTTGTGAGACATGGCCATTGAAAGTGGAAAATATGAAAAGGTTAGCTGTCTTTGATCATAGGTGTCTGCGTTCTACCGGCCGTGTTAGGTGGTAAGTGCACTGAAATGTCTAGGAATGCTTAGTCATCGCCTTCCTCGACGGGCAATGTTAAGTGACATAAAATCGATAAGGTTGGGAAAGAGCTAGTGGTGGTCGAATGAAAACATGAAATCAGTTCATGATGCCCCTCGATAGTTAGTTTGAGCCAGCCATACAGGGAGGTGTGGACTGCCTGATTGGTTTTCCTCTGGATGGTAAGAACCAAAGAATTATTATTATTATTTCTTTCAGTTACTAGGCGAACAAACGGCTTCAGCCACACGTCTCCATTGCGTTTGGTTGTCTGCCAACATTTCCGCTCCTCTCCACGTCTGCCCACATGCTTTCATCTCCTGTTCACATCACCTCCATATCACCTTCACGCTGACGACCAACTCACCACATCCCGTTCGGGTCCCATTCGAGCAATGGCATGGTGTGTCATGTCCCTGACTTGATGGTTTGTTTTCTCAGAGTATGGCCAATCCACCTCCATTTCTTCCTGCATATTTGTTGCACAATCGGTTCCTGCTGGGTTGGTTCGCGTATTGCCAGAAATCTGTGTTGCTGATCTTTTCTGGCCGGCCATCTGATGTTGGATAGTATTGAGCCAAGACTGCTGTTGATGAGAGTGTGTAGTTTGTTTGAAGTGCTTTTCATGACACGCAATGTCTCTGATCTGTATAGTAGCACTGACTTGACGTTGGAGTTGAGAATCCGGGTCTTATTTTTCATGCTGATTGCTGTTGACCTCCACACAGACTTGAGAGTAATGAAAGCTTATCTTGTTTTCCCGATCCTCACTTTGATATCCTCATCAGTTCCGCCTGTAGTTGAAACGACACTTCCCAGGTAGATAGGTAGGTGGAGGAGGTTGTTTCTTTGAGGTTCCTCCCATTTATGCTGGCTGATTGTTGTCTATTGTAGTTGCTGTTTCTGTTGCTTGTTGGCCATGAATCTTCACCTACTTTTTTTTTCTCTAGTTTCACCTGAATGAAGTCCTATCTTCTCTGGATGCTTCTTCTGCTAACTTGTTGCTTTTCACTCACATATCTTCCAGTTTGTAGGAAATCAGACATATATCACCGGCGAAGTCGAAATCCTCCAAGTTTTTTTGTGTGGGTTCATTTTATGCTTTTTTCCTCGTTGCCCACCGCTGTCTGTTGCATTATCCAGTCTACCTCAATCAGGAAAATCATTGGAGATAGCAGGTAGCCAGCTTGTCTTACTCCCGTTTTCACTTCGAAGAATTTCGTGAGTTTCCCATTGTGGATTACTTGGCATGCAGCATTGTCGTACAACTGTTGGATGAGATGTTTAATTATTGGCGAAGAATCAAAGAGGTCTGGAAACAATTGGTGATATGGCTCAAAATCATTGCCAATGTCGCAGATGTACTTATCATCTGTGATCTGCCATATCCAGAAAACCCTTATTATATTTCTATATTACTATTCTTTCTCTACCTATTATTGTTCTTCCAAAGCTTTTTTCTCTTTTGTTTAGTTTTGTTTTCTACATGGAGTGTGACAACTTAATCTGTTGCACTTCTATGCCTAGTTCTATGTTGAACGCAGTCAGTCAGACAATGGCTGATTACATGATGAAGTTGCTTGAAATTCTACTGAGAAGTTGTAACCGTCTGGGTCCACCAAGTTAGGTGTTAGGACAAATGCTTGTCGATGATGTAGGATGGCAGTTGCGCCGTACATCGAGAGTCGGTAGAAGTTGGGATTTTTTTGACTGATTATTGAATTCTTTACCGGCCGCTGAATGATCAACAACCTTACCTTGTAATTTGAAGGTCCTGGGTTCGATCTATAGTGGTGTCGAGAGTGTGTACTACTACCGAAGAGTCCCAAAGGGGAACGGTACTCCTTGGTTTTCAATAGTTCTCTGACTGAAGTCAGTTTCTGATCAGTCTTCATATCAACAAGAAATTTGCTTGGTTATTCGTATGCCTGATGATGGATCAGCCATTACGTCTCGGGAGCATTTGTGATATTCACAGGGTAAATCAGATTTTTATAAACAGTCACTGCAAGAGAAAGATGTGATCTTTAGGAACACTAAATTTTGTCAGTCGTCATGCAGAGCTATCGTCTGAATTCAAGCGACAATCGCTTACCAGTGACGCTATATGCTAGTGATTAATTGATGTGAGTAGTTGGACGCCTTTCACATCAACAAGTTGTGCTTGTTAGTACGATCCAAGTTACCTGTACACCGGACAGTTATTTCGTTCGTTTGAGACCGAGCTCATTAGCGGTGTACACAGTTGGACACCAGCCAAAGTCTAGCTAGCTTCATTGGCAAATTAATGATACGTTGAATCAAACTGGCAGTTTGTGATTTGCACACTTCGAGGAGATGAAATTTCATCGGAAACCAAAATTATTCAGATTGTATATTGTCAAATTATCCTGAGTTATAGCCTCGAATATATATTAGCTGAGTTACCTGGATCAAACATCTTATGTTCCAGGTTTAAGTAAGTTGTGTGTGTATAAAGTTTGAATTCAGGATGTGTCACATTTTGCGATCTGAATAATTTTGGTTTCCAATGGTGGTAACTGTGGTATCATTTCACCTCTTCGAACTGAATAAATTGCAACTGGTGAACTAATTTACAAATTGCGGATTCGAAGCCACCGATTAATACGCAATGTAGGAAATTATTCGAAATATCAGTAACAGCCTGCATCTCTTTAGTATGACTGGAATAGTGAGTAGAAGAACTTAGCCACTGTTGTAGTATGTAATCCCATCATAATTTGTTTATTAGATGTACCACACAATGAAATAGTATATTGTTTACTGGATGACAAAGTTTTGAACAAAATTGACTGTTCATACTTATTCATTATATCAGTTATAATCACACGACCTCGAAACTTGAGTTTGATAGTTTTCTTTCTTCTCTCGTATTTGTCGTCGTCCGGGTAGTAGAATTTTCCAGATGTCCAACTGGACAGGTGCTGATCCATCCCTATTACACATGTTTGTAGTTGATTCGATAAATAAAGCCTCAGTCAGTTATCTATCTCTCTCTTCACCCAGTTACATTAGATTTTAAAACTGTCACCTTAACCCATCCATCCTATTGTATGGTTGTGTATAACTGCATGTAGTGCTATAGCTGAACTATTCTCTAGATTTCTTATCTTATTCGAGTCAACCAATCTAGATTTCTGTAGGTTTTTATACTCCGCTAGTCTGACTGCTCCAATTCTACTACTGTGACCCTATGTATTTGACTTGACAATCATTGTAGGCAGGGTAATTAGATAAATTAAATCGTTTTCTTTTATTGACTCCACAGGATGATCCTATAACCAACATAGCTTGTTTCTAATTGAGTTTGTGGGAGGTTCGAGTGCCACTTATATTCCTGGATTGTTAAGAATTCTTCGTAAGTTTTCGGAGGTTCCTTCTTTATATAGAAGTACTACTGATGATATAAATTCCCTGTTGTTGGTGTTTTCATTAGCCTGCGCATGTTTGACATACACTTCGTCATTAATATTATTATTATTACTATTATCGTTATTTATTTTATTTTTACATTTCCCTACATACTTTCTGACTAATTTATCAGGGTAATTATTAAGTTTCAAAGCTTCTCTTATATGCCTCACTTTCTGTCTCAGATTTTCTTTGGTACTGTAACAATAGAAGACAAGGGCCAGGCAACAGATCATTTGTTAAGGAAATCAACACATATTTATGGATTTTCACGTACGTTATTAGAGATTATTGTTGGCAGAAAACTCAGTCTTCTAATTGGTGGGTTGTTTCTCACAGAAAGTTAACCTGCATTTCTTTGTAGCCGTTTCCTGAATGTCAGATCATCTATATGTTAACTGTATCCGCCTACGCAAAGCCTTTATTCTCATTTTTCTCACGACCAATATTGCGCACATAAGCATTGGCGTAAATTACTGTCCACCAATTTTGACTAACAGTACTACTTAGTTTTCGTGCTCTATTACTTAAACATTTCACCAATCCTATTTTCACTGACACACAGGATGGGATGATTGGAAGTCTAAATATCTGTTTGAATGTATGCGTGGGTGCGTTTTTAACTCCTCATTCTCTTTTTTCTTTTTATGCCTTTAAAGTAGGCATTGAAGGCATTCACTATAAAATCACTATTTTTAGATCCTTTAACAAAATGAATCGCAAATTGTCATTTTATGCTGTCGCTTATATAATAAACACTTAACTATATATTGTCGTAATGAAATAAATTTAATTTAGAAGCAAGTAAAACCGATAAGTGTTCATTAATGCCTTATTTTTTTTACTAGCCTCTGTTTTTATTGTTGCCAGTGTTTAATGACAGTTGGGAAATAGGGTAGGATAGAAAAACACGTGAGGAAAAGCGATTAATAGTAGTACACACCCTAAAAACTGTGGTCACTACTCACTTGATGAGGGGAGAATTGTATGAGATTTGTTTGTTTTTCTTTTTTTTTTGAAGAAACGCCTCTCTTCTCACTCTTTTGCTATTTCTCTTTTTCTTTTTTGTCATGAGATTATGCTATTATGATGCTATTTTTTTGTTCCTGATATTTGTGTCAATGGCGCTAAAAAGTAATCACATAAACCAAGTGTATTCCTTGCTAGCTAGTGTTTGCTAGTGAGTGAGTGTGATATGACCTTAAACACTGGATGATTATTTTGCTTGTTTAGGACAGGATTAGTTTAGCACAGTGAAACCAAACCAAAGGCACTCTACTCGTACTCGTGCAGCTAAGTGAGGGTTTACAGCGAGTTGTCATTTGAAAGGGTGACGACTAGTGATGTCCGTCACGGATGCCTATTATCCCCATTTCTATTCATTTTCATCATAGATACCGTACTAATGGACTTGACCCTAAGTGACTTCAGCGACTCAGGGATTGACTTGCTACCAGGGAATAATCTCGTTGACTTAGAATATGCAGACGATATAGTCCTCGTGGGTGAAGACGCTGACAAAATGCAGAGTCTTCTGAACACCTTGAGCTGCAATCTGCGAATGTTTGGGATGCGATTTGCTCCCGCCAAATGTAAGATGATGTTACAGGATTGAACTACACCGACTCTTAGATTAGAAATAGGAAGTGAAGTGGCTGGTGGAGCATGTTGATCGCCTCACTTATTTGGGAAGTACCATCAGGCCAACGGGTTGATCACTGATGAAATCTCAGCACGGATACAGGGGGCTAGTTTTGCATATGCCAGTTCACGCCGTCTCTGGCGTAGACGTGATATCCGGCTGGCTGTCGACCATAGGGCGTGTATACTGCTCACCAGTCCGCTCCATCCTCCTTTTTGGTGTGAGACCTGGTCATTGAGAGTGGAAGACATGAAACGGATGGATAGCTGTTTTTGATCAGGCTGGAAAAGAGCTAGCGGAGGTCAAACAAAAACATGGCCTCACCAGTCAATGAAATCCACAACAGTTAGTCTAAGCCAGCCACGTAGGAAGGTGTAGACTTCCTAACTGGTTGGGGTCCTCTGGACGGTAAAAACCAATGGTTGGAACAGTTGATGACATGGCTCAAAATCGTTCTCAATGGCTAGCGCAGATGCATTCACTCCTTGTGACTTATGATTTCCAATGAAATTTTTGTTCTTCGTTATTTCTATTTCTTTGTCTCACACCTCTGTTTACTGTCTCTATTATGCATTTGTTCTACTTTCTTCTGTTGCTTTGTGTGCTACTTGGAGGGAGTGTGGCGACTTGAACTGGTGCACATTGGTGCAAAGTTCTGTGTCGAAAAAGACAGATAAACAGTAAAACCAAAGTATCTCGAGCACCGCAAAATGTGTGGCTAGCAAATAAGGTGCAGTGGTTGGGAGAATACCTAGAATGCAGTTAACTATTTGTCAAGCAAAATTTGTTTAGTTTGCAGTGATATGGTGTAGTGAGAGCTGTCTGTTAGCCAAAATTGGTAGACAGCGATTTACATCAATGTTTACGTCCCAAATCTTTGTCGTGAGAAAAAAAAACAAGGACAAAGACTAACTCAATAATCAATCACAGCAGACTTTGCGTGGATGGATACGATTTGCGCATATATGGTCTGACCTTCAAAGAAACGGTCACAAAGAGACGACGGAATAACTTTCAGTGAAAAAAAAACCAACCAGAAGACGCTGTTTCTGTGCTAATGATAACGAATAATAATGTACATTAGAATATTTGTACGAGTTGATGATTGATATCAGTTTGAAAACCAGAGAGTAGGGGACAGCTGTTTCATCCTAGTTTGGTTCTTTAACTGATATCAATCCATGATCAACTCGTAAAAACATAACTAACCCTTTAAAACCAAACTACAGAAAACGAAAAATTTTATAAATATCTCTTGATTTCCTCAGTAAACGATCTGTTGCCTGGCTCTTGTCTTCTGTCGTTACAACAGCTGTATGAGTTCAATCGGCCTGGAAGTGTCGTTGATATCCTTGGTCTTAAGCAAACAAACCATCCATTAGTTGTCTACATCACTCGATTTAAGTTAACTTGTACACCTGATTTGCGATCACGGTTACTAGTAAGTTATGTAATGTATGTCGTGTGATATGAATGAAATTAACTAAATCACTTTGCATTTGAATGGATATGTATTGATTTTTATGTTGCTTAATTATTCACTCCCTTTCATTTCATTCTCTCTTAGATACTTTGTGGTCGTTCATTACCAAAATGGATAAATCGGTTAGCTACAATTGCAGCCAAACTACCTTTTATTGAACGATCATTACCAGTCGAATGGTTAACACCTCATCAACAGGTAATTGTGATCCCTGAAGTATATTTATTCTCAAGGTTTTCTCAACTGACTAATTAGTATCGTCAATAATGCCCTGATAAGACCAAGTTAAACTTTAAGCACCATTAATATACCGATAGAGTGCAACTGCACCAATGACTTTGAAGCACTCACTGAACAAGTTAGTGAAACCTGGCAAATAATGCTGTCACCATCAGTAAAATATGCTCATCGAAGTGTTATGCTATTAAATAGGATATCTGGAAAGTTTCAGCCTAGGTGTTTTGAGAAAGATTAAGTTGCACTTTAAGCCAAGGACAAGTTAAGGTTAGGTTAACCTAATAAAAGCGACATTAGGGTTGGTTCGAATTAGGGTTAGGTTCAGCAAAGATAAAAGTTATTGTTAGGGTTGGAAGACCTAAATAATTACATGCATAGAATTACTCTGTAGATATAAGAATAGACTTGTGCGCTGTGGTAGAGCATAATTCCATTGTGGGTAAAATTTATTTTGATAAATTCTCACAATGTTCTACAGTAATATTTACTGATGACCACGTTTCGAGCGCAATTTATTGCTCAGTAAACATTACTGTATTACACAATGAGACTTTATCACAATAAATTTTACCACAGTGTTCAAGTTGATACTCCAACCTAAAACAGAGCTATTTTTATCACATGTGAATGGAAGGTATCCTCTGTAACACTTTCCTACAGTTTTTATGCCTCCTTCACGTGATTAGTACGTAGGAGATCATTCGCGGATTGGTAGTTAGTGGTGCTGAAAGTTTAACTTTGTCCCTGATAAAGTTTTTGAGAAAATATCACACCAGATTGGTTAGTATTGCTGTATATAATCGTATGCCTAGTGACTGACTCATCTTAGAGCCTCATGCAATGATTTGCTACTGTGAGGAAAAGTAAAGAAAGAACTTACAAGTAAAAGTAGTTTCATTTCAGAAATTCACGTCTTCACCCCGAGTTCAAATCATAAACTTACTCACTTGGTGAGGTGGAAGGTGTCAGTTCAGGAAGTTAGTCGATGAGGCTATTAGTCACATCGATTGAGGTAGCTACGACACGTAGTACACATATCAAACCACCGCCTTCCTCGATGAACAGTGTTTTCTTAATATTAATAATAGACGTATGTAAGAATTACCTCCCACCTCCGACACACGCTTAGTGCATCAGTGGCACAGTGGTTAGGACTCTCACCGACCATGCACATGGTCCGAGGTTCAATCCCTGTCGACGCACACCTGATATCTCTATGGTCGGCCTGTAAAATTTGGGCTACCGATATCCATGCTGAAAATTCCATACTTGTACCAAAAATACAGTGTGGAATCAAGCTGTAATCAAAAATAAAATAAAAAAAGAAAAAATTTGTGAAGTCTCAGCGAAATTGGAACTATTTAGGAACTATTCAGTCAAATCTTGATCACAGTCCATATGAAATAATAATAATAATAACAATAACTTTGTTCTGAAAACTGCATTGAGAAACAATACAGACTTTTCAGTGGGTTTCATAGCGAGGTTTTTACTCCTTGTGCAGATTCGTCAAATAATATGATAATCGATAATATATCGTCTGAGGTGATGTCATTCAATCCGTAACATGTTCTAATACTACTTCACAATATTCTTCGTCCATTTCTTTCAAAGAATTCATAGTGATAGATAGAAACTTGTTTAAAATTGTGCGCGAGTATAGATGGCGACTCATTGTGGTAACTGGGTGATAAAAACAATATGAAACTTAGTAAATATGATGATTTGAATAAGGCATTTAGAAGACAAATTTCAAGAGATGATATCTTCATTTCGTAGTTTCTTTACAACCGCTTAACAACTAACATGGTTAACAATAATGCAAATAAAGTTCATGACAATTACTCAGTTAAAAATAAAAAATAAAAGTACAATACTAATGACCAATCATATTTAGATAGGTCATGTTGTCCATGGTAGGCGAAGATTGAAGTCTATTGTTTTTTGTACACATGATGTAGGATGTATGTGATTAATCCAAAGTGCTTCCATCACCTTCAACAACCTCTAATTCGAGTTATGTGATGAAATAACTGTGAAGGAGTCATTAATATTGATTTTGTGACCTGACATAATAAGTGTTTTACAATGGATGAGGCTGGATTTCTATTCAGATTAGTCGCATTGAGATTTTCTACATGATTTCGTAGCCACTTGTCACGGTTAAGAAAGACCACATCTCGAAAAGACGGCTTCCGTACCAAAGAAAGCTCTTATTATTAACCTACCATTCAAGGGTGACCAGATTATGCAGTTGACAACTCAAAGACTTCGGTCAGTCATCAAACGCACATTCTAAGTCGAATCTCTTTCCCTTATATGCCGACATTTTCGATCCTGTATCTATGATTAAAGGACGAAATTATGTGGACTCTACTTCAAACTGTATCTACAAGTTCACCTGCAGCTTCGGTGACACCTATATAGCCAGAACCAATATAATGTTCCAATGTCGTCGAAAAGAGCATGTTCCAAATTGGCTACTAAATCATATCGAAAATCCTAACGCGATTAATCTTAATAACAATCCATCATCATCCATTGCAAAACACTTATTAATATCAGGTCACAAAATCAACATTGATGACTGTTTCACAGTTATTTTACATAGCTCTAATTCAAGGTTATTGAAGGTGATGGAAACACTTTGGATTAATCACAAGCATCCTAAACTATGCGTACAAAAATCAATAGACTTTAAATTTCGCCTACCATGGACTACTTGACCTATTTAAATATGATTAGTCAGTAGTATTGTACTTTTATTTTTTATTTAGCTAGGTAACTGTCATGAACTTTATTTGTATTATTGTCAACCACGTTAGTTGTAAAGTGGTTGTAAAGAAACTACGAAATGAAGATATCATCTCGTGAAATTTGTCTTCTAAATGCCTTATTCAAATTTATAAAAGGGACTAATTGTTTTAATTTAAATATGATGATGCATTTTAGTAGAATAAAAATTTTACAGCCCAGTAATCTAAACACACCTTCAGATTTTAGTTGATTGGCTGGAAAAGGGTTATTGGTGGCATCAAGTCTGATAGACTGTGATAGTTTGTTTGAGCAAACCATGTAGGGGGATGTAGACTGCCTAGCTGGACTGGGATCCTTAAGATGCTGAGGACCAATGAGTGGATATTGATTGTTGATGCTTTTAGTCCAAATCGTTCTTAATGATGGAGATAAATTCAGTCTTCGGGTACCTTCCCAAATCCACGAAGTTCTCACGTTTCTTTCTCCGTACATTTCTCTTCATTAAAGTTCTGAATTTCGCACTGTGCACCCAGACTGTGTTTCTACACATTATAATGCTTTTTACTGTGATATTCAACGTCAATTAGCTGGGTGGGTGGGTACCTTTGCAGCTAGATATCGGATTCCTGTTTTACATAATGCCTTTCATACAAAGGACCGGTAGCTTGCTGAATAGCTAGAGGGTAATTTTTGAGGGTGTTAGTGAGTAGCAGCACAGTTCTGAATCTCTGAAAATCCAAAGGCGGTTGAAGCTTGTCAGCTGAATCTCCAAAATATTTAGCAGAATTTGCGCAGCTGTATTATGTCATTAACCCCCCAACACAGCAGACATATACTCCTTGTTCTCTTTCTGCTGAAGTTGTATGGGTTAAAGTAGATTTTAAATTTTATTCCTGAAGAATTATGAAAGATTTTCTTTCTGAAAACCCGATTGATGAATTTATGCTGTAGTTATTGTCGTGTGAGTTCTACACATACTTATCTTGGTTTATGATTGTCATGGCTGACAGAACTATAGATGCCAACTGACAGTAATAAATCAGTCATCTTGTAGTTTCTTAGCGTCAGTATAAACCATAAAGTCGTTAAATGTTGACTTTCATGCTCATTAAATAGTCCTTGAGTATTTTGTCTTTCTAGAAGATCGAAATTAAAATAAAAGGGATATCGCTTTTTATTTTTATACTAGTCTAATGCGTATGAAAACAATAATGCCGCCCTGAAGTTTGGTCTGATTAAAATGCTTGACGGATTAGGATTACTTTTAACTTTACCATGAAATCCTGACCGATAGCTGCTACCTTGACGTGGTGGTCGGGCTTGCACGTCGTGACTACCCAACAAGCTACAGTGGCTGGAACCAATGTTCCTGCAGGTGCTACCATCCCAGGAAAGTTGTTAGGATAGCGATTAGACTAAAAGCAGTAACCGGGTTTGTGTAAGAATCTTTCTTACAATGTGCTGGGGGGGGCTGAGGGCGAAGTCGTACTGCTGGGGAACAAGGGTGTAACAGTAGTGAGGTGCTTCCCTCAGATGACTAGCATGCCAGCTATGCTGTCTCTCCATTCCGGAGAGAGGGGATTAGAAAAGGTCGACCCTAAATATTGTACATCCCGATTTACCCTACGGTGGTCCGTAACCGGTGGTAAGTTTACCAATACGGAACCAATCCCAGAAACCAGTTCATACAGATCAGCTTCACGCAGTTATCCCCTGGGCTCTGTGGTCACGCAACACTAACCCTCTCTCTGTTTCAGGTACCTGAAGAATTAATCAACTTCCACGGTGTGGGCAGCCGGGAAGTAACAACCACCCACACACTTCCAAAAGCACACGAAGCCTTCCTGAGTATCATTCCCCTTTACCTATCGTGAAATGGGGTGCTCATCGATGACATTGATTAATAATGGTGCTGTATTCATCGGAGGCCTGCTTAAAACTTAGCTACTAAAAGCTTCCATCACTATATTGAGTATAATTTCCGTCGTTCACTTTGGTTTAGTCTATTAAAATATAACCTCTTACGAGAATTTAAAATGTTTACGACCTACTGATTCGCCATTTTCTGTTAAACCTGAGAAAAAGTATAATCGCTTGTGTGTGTGTGGGGGGGGGTAGACAAAGTATCCTTAGTTATGTCCTTGAATTGCAAAATGTACTCCTGAACGTTTTACAATCGAATTTCAAACAAGTGTCATACATTTCTCAAAGCAGACAAAGAAGCAATATCACAATGGATTGGTTTGCACTTCAGATCAGACAGTATCGTTCCTCATGATCTACTTACTCTCAGTTAATATTTTATTTGAAGATCCTAAACTAATCGAAAATAAGCGTGCTGAAAATTCTGTACATTATTTAAACACTGTCCAGAATAAAGCTATTGTTATTATATCACGAATTTGTCGGGGTCAAAATTCAGGAGGTCATTGAACACCACCCCGGGGCTAAGTGGTTAGATGGTCAACGAGCTGACTTCTTAACCTGAGGCTCCCGAGTCTCTGATCCCTATCGAGTTCGTGAGAGCGCACTTCTGAAGGGACCTAAAATAGAACGTAACAGGCATGCAGTGCTCCCTGGCTTTCAACTGTTACTTTTTTTTGTAAAACGTTTTGAATGTATTTTGTTTTCTGTGAATCCTTTATTCTTACTTATAAGTAGTATAAGTCTTTTTGCATACTGTCTACTACCATTAATTATTATTCTTCCCTTTGTTAATAATATATATACAGTTTGCAGATCAAATGAATGATCAACTTGACAATGAATCACAACTATCACATGATGAAGAGCATTCAGTCAATTCGAATACAACAGCAGCAGCACGTAATTCACATTCACCATTCCGCCGTTGGAGTGCTATTGATCGTCTACAGAATTCTCTACTGCATCGTTTTCATCATAATACAAAATTTGCTAAACGTCCTACCACACAAAATCGTCATCGTAGATCATTGACTAATTCTAGATATGATACCTGTTCATTATTCGATATACCATCCGATGAGAATACAGTTGAAAATGATACCGATTGGTATGCATTTATTACAGCTCAATCGACGACCGCCTTATCTGAGCCTAATATTAGTATATATAGTCGACAACAGGGGATAAAGAATTGTTCCAGTGATTCGTCAACAAGTAATCCTGTTGTTGTTGTATGTCAATCACCTATAAGTTGCATAAATGACAGTACTATATTCAGTTTAGGCCAACCGACATCAAATATTGATTCACGTCAATGTGTTGTACTTCAACCAACCAATCAAAATGCATCGATTGAAGAGTATTATTTGTCGAAGAATACTACTAGGCATAAATCCTTGAATTCATCGCATTTTGATGAAACGATATCTTGTAAAGATTCGCCACCTTCAACAACGACATCATCATCATCATCAAATCAATCTGAATATTCTTGTAAATCATGTGATCATGCAGTGACATCTCTTTCATCAACTGCTTTTACTAATCTTGTACAGTTAGATAACAACAATACTCATGACAATGGCAGTGAAATAAACAATTATCCCTACGATAAGTATTTAAGTAAATCTGCAAGTTCTCCATGTTATTCTTAAAGATACATTCCTCTTCTCTCCCCCCTGCGCTTTCCTATTCCCCATCCTTTTTTATCAATTAATTTTAGCAGCATAGCCAAGCAAGCCATCGTCGTCATCGTTCCAAATTGAAACTATGACTATAAATGTGTTGTCTTCTTCTGCTTGAGTGAGTGCTAACATCATCTGCGTTGTTTTTTGTCTGTTTTTTTTTAAAAAAAAGAAAAGAAAGAAAAAATTACTCTACACCCCGGTAGGCTATTTCACGTATTCGTCTTCTTTTGTCGCCTTGGCAGCTAGTTTATAGCTAGTCTTACTATTGCCTCACGTATATTGCATATAGAATTTCCTCTTCTTAATTTTTTTTGTGTATTTCACTCGAAAATGGATTACGTAACTTGTAAATTTTGTGAAGCTGCTATCTGTGTGTGTCCGGTTGGGGGGGGAGGCTGTGATTCGGCTTGGAAAGGCGAGGCATGTTTGTATTCTCATTTGTGGAATCTTTCTATTGACATAGTATAGTTTATCCTTGCTGTAGGGATCCTTTTTGTGTTTTTTTTTATAGAATTTAATCTTTTTTCCGACTTTTTGTATTGTTTGTGTAGAAAACCTTTTTATTTTACCCTTACCATTAATTAAGTGGCATACTTTTCTCCTGTCTGCTTCTACTTCTGAGTGTGAGACAGCACACTTGAGGCTGGGTGAGTCAACTACCTACCTTATTGCATTTATTCATCTTTCTTTTGTTGTTGTAGTGTGCGTGCGTGCGTGCTTCTGAGCCTGTGTGTGTGTGTGTGCGAAGCAACTTTAAACAAGGCAGTGGCTAATCTCACTCTTACGCTTATTTTCATTTTAGTTTAGTTTCTTTTCTTCGTTTGTCCAATGTGTCCAATATGCTCAGGTTATTTTTTGACCTAACATTTCCTTCCATTGACACATACCTATTAGGTTTGTTCTGTCTAAGAGAACACACTATGGCCTCACTTTTTTGTTTCTTGTCTATTCAAACTGTGCGTGTGTATTTAGTTGATATGAGATAAGTGTATATTTTTAATTAGTGTGTGTGTGTGTACTTTTCAACAAAATGAAAAATAATATACATATTTTAGTGGTCAAGTTGTAATTGTTATTCTCTTGGCCTCTGAGTCGAGCATAGAGCTTCAGCAATACATCTTCGTTTCATTCTGTCCTCTGAAGCCTTTTTAATCTGGCTTCACTATTGCCAGTAATCTTGCATTTCCTTTTTAAGGGATTTCTTCCGTATTCAGCCTCAGAACCATGGTCAACTCGTCGTCTCACATTCGGTTTTCACCCGACGACCAGCCTGACTCACAGTGTCACTTAGCAGTCTCTTCAGTGTGTGTCCAGTCCATCTTCGTTTTTCTTTCAGAGCTCCTTCTCGCTTTTTCTTTCTGACCGATTGTCTGATCTTCAGCTTGCTATCTCGTAAATTATCCAAAAGTGAGAGGGTTGGGAAATGGAGCTAGCGGCCCTACACCGGGGAATCAATCAAATCTCTACAGAAGCTTCAACATCCGGAAATAAACTTATTCTTCGCTGGTATCGGAGAAACAAGACTATGTGAAGGCTAGTGAAAGCCGATGTGTTATCTATCTTTCCACGCCTAAGTATTTAGGAATCGTTCCATGGTAGAAAATTATTTATCTCATGATGGTATATACTACTGACTGATTTAAGTAGTTAAAAACTGGTCAGCTCAAGTTGTTCACCAGGTCAGAGTGAAATTTTACTTCGAATTTTATCATTTGCAAGGGATAAGTTTGATTACATTACTATTTATTTTAGTTAAGTTATTAATTGTATGCATTGGCTATTTTAAAAATATGAAACTATGTAATATTGATTAATTAAACTGGGTAGTTGAATACGACTCACACCAACCATTAGTGCTTGCTAGTTTCTTATCGTTTTGAGAAGATTTTAGGATTCCTGAAACACCATTGGATTCTTATTGTTTGCTGAGATGCATCAGCCAGTCTGAAATTTTTTGATAATTCGACAGTTGGAATTAGGTTGATGTTGTGTAAATTGATGTGTGTAAAGTGATTATGTAACACAGTGTAGCACAACATATAGAGATATGGTAATACCAGTAATTCAATGATTCTCATTTCGTGTTTCCACTCTCAGTATTCTTCAAAAGAGCTCATCGGCTTAAGTACCTGGCTGTCAACTATAATGGTTTATACGGGTTCGAATTCCTCTACACCTTTTTCAGCCTGTATACCTCGGTAGTATTTTCAGCCTTCACACAATATGCATAGCTCATAATCTGCTACATGGAAAATGTGGGTAGGGTTAAATGAAGCGACGACTCAGGCCTCATATTATGTGTACGGATCAAAACAGACTTGATATGGTCCAAACTCAAAAAAAACCGGTCTTTACGTTCTACTGTGTAGTTGACCGAAACTTCTCTTAGCTATACACAGTCACAAAACACCCTAAAGTCAGCAAAAAGATGGTTATTCGCAGTAAAATGTGACGGTTGTTCTGTTCAACAATCGTAATATATTTCATACATTTATTCCCCTTAATGAATTTGAACAATGCAAGAACTACAGTTTTAGCAGAATAAAATGGTACCATCTTTGATTTCGTTGCCTTCTCGTCAGCTGCTTACATGGCAAAGACATTATTAAATATATCTACAACAACAATTTTAACATACTTGCACAGAGTTCAGTTTAAACAAAAATCAATCGATCAATATACGCATACACTAAAAATATATACATATATAAATATGCAATATTAACCACTATTCCGAACAATAATCATCAAACACAATGGAAACTTTTAGCATTGTTATATTGTTATATTGAGACCTGACAAGGGCTCAGGTGTGGTGCTGATGGACAAAGAGGACTACATCGCAAAGATGAAAGCTGTGCTAAATGACCCGTTGAGATTTAAAGTTGACAGTTGCCAGAAAGATAAGACAGATGCAGTCGAAAAACGTATCACAAACGCCTTGAGAGATCTTCTAAAGAAGAAATTGATTAACAACAACACATACAATGATTTGAAACCTCGAGGGTCCCGTTTGCCACACATGTATGGCCTTCCGAAGACACACAAAGAACAAGTCCCTTTGAGACCCATACTTTCGATGATCAACTCGCCCCAACATAAGGTGGCACGTTGGCTTGCGGAGAAGTTGGAGCCTATTCGTCAACGGCTAGGCGTGCACAAGGTGAAAGACTCATTTCATTTCTCTGAGAGTGTGAATCACATGAACGTTCTAAATAACTTCATGGTGTCATTTGATGTAACCTCCCTATTCACAATGATTCCAGTCAATGAAACCATTGAAATCATCTGTCAGCAGTCCGATCTTCTCCCACTCCCAGAATCTGGATTCAAACGCCTACTGCTTATGTGCACCATGGATGTGCAATTCCTATTTGACAACACGTTTTACCGCCAAATAGATGGTGTAGCTATGGGCAGTCCACTTAGCCCTGTTTTAGCAGATATTTTCATGTCTAACCTTGAAAGAACAAAGCTGAAGCATGCAATCGACGAAACATCCTCCTACTGTCGTTATGTTGATGACACATTTATAGTGTGCAAAAATAAAAGTCATGCTTCACGCTTACTAAGATTATTCAATGGTGCACACGCCAATGTTGACTTCACTATGGAACACGAAAGTGACGGAAAATTTCACTTCCTCGACATAGCCATGGAACGCCTAGAAGACGGTGGTCTTCAAAAGTCAATTTATCGAAAGACCACATGGAAAGGACAATAAAAACATTTTAATAGCTTTTGTCCACATAGCTTTAAACGTGGTCTGGTCAAAACTTTGTACTATAGAGCAAGGAGAATATGCTCTACAGAGAAACTAGAGGAGGAGTTTGAGTTACTTGAAAATATATTGAAGAGAAATGGGTATCCTCAAAGGTTCATCAACAAGTATGGAAGATCTGAAGTCAAAAGAGTAAAACAAATCACAGTGGAAAAAAAGCCAGTCTACCTTCAGCTTGATTACAAAGGTGAAATTATTGCAGCGATTATCAACAGAAGGCTGAGTACATCACTAGCCATAGCGTATCCTGCAGCTAAGCTCGTTCCCGTCTATCGAACAACTTACTCTTTGGTGCAATCGAAAATCGATAGATATCCTTCTCATGTTACCTCCAACTGTGTATACAAATTTACATGTATCTGCGGGAGCAGTTACATTGGAAGGACAGAAAGAAGGGCATATCTACGATTTTCTGAACATGTACCAAAAAGCTTACGTCTAAAGGGAACAAATGCTTTAAATAGTGCCATCACCAGGCATCTTCTCGACACGGGTCATGAGGTGGACGTTGAAAAGTCGTTCAAAATTATCAATAAGCAAAATAGCTCCATTCTCCTTAAGTTTGCTGAAGCCATTTCCATCAAGCGCATGAAACCTGATTTATGCGTCCAGAAAGAAGCGGTTATCAGCCTTTCTTTGCCCTGGTAACTGGATAATTTCACCTCTCTTTCCTCCGAATGTGAAATGCTAAAAGTTTCCATTGTGTTTGATGATTATTGTTCGGAATAGTGGTTAATATTGCATATTTATATATGTATATATTTTTAGTGTATGCGTATATTGATCGATTGATTTTTGTTTAAACTGAACTCTGTGCAAGTATGTTAAAATTGTTGTTGTAGGTATATTTAATAATGTCTTTGCCATGTAGGCAGCTGACGAGAAGGCAACGAAATCAAAGATGGTACCATTTTATTCTGCTAAAACTGTAGTTCTTGCATTGTTCAAAATCGTAATATAATCAAAATGGAAAATTGCCGCCAACAGTGACCCCTTAGGTGGCTATACAGGTTAGATAAGTTACAAGTACTGTAGAAAATACTTGCGAATCACGAGGAATATTCTCAACAAGGTGGGGCGAAGAACCATAAACCAACAATTCCCTCAGCTGGTCAAAGATTAAAATAACCTTGGTTCAATCCAACCAAATAGTATCCGTAGGACAACAACATATTATCCATATCACACAATCTCAAAGAAAAGCATTAAAATAAGAGATGAAACGGGAACAAAGACAAATAATGAAGAGATTAACTCAGCATATGATATCCAAATGTCAGGGTGGTGGTGATATGTGGTGTAGGAGGAAACAGGAAAATAATTACGAAGTTCATATGAACTGTGATCAAGATTTGACCGGATAGTTGCGAAATAATTGAGCGCTGAGTGGGAAGTAGACATATGTAGAAATTATAATTGTAAAATCTCAGCGAGATTGAAATGATTAATTCCAACGTTTCGTTCAGCAAACTGGTCCGAACTTTTTAGGATAATTAATAGAAATTAACAACATAGTATTCAAGTGTTGGTTTGTAGGGATTTGATTGGTTTCAGGATTTCATCATGAGCTGACATTAGTTAGAGAACCATTGGAAAACCTGGGAGTACTGGACAGCTGTTTCGTCCTAGTGCTTGGGACTCTTCATCAGTACGCACCCACCGGGATTCGAACCCAGGACCTTCCGGTTACAAGGTCAGCGAGCTCGTATGCCATTAAGCCACTGGGACCCGATCCAATGGCCAGTCCATGAATTCTAACTTCTGCCAATTCACGACATAGCGCAACCGCTAGCCAATGTCTTCGGCGAGTATTTGTCCTCACACCCGACCAGCTGCACCAGTAGGGTGTGAGGACAAATACTCGCCGAAGACATTGGCTAGCGGTCGCGCTATGTCGTGAATTGGCAGAAGTTAGAATTCATGGACTGGCCATTGGATCGGGTCCCAGTGGCTTAATGGTATACGAGCTCGCCTTGTAACCGTAGGTCCTGGGTTCGAATCCCGGTGGGTGCGTACTGATGAAGAGTCCCAAGCACTAGGACGAAACAGCTGTCCAGTACTCCCAGGTTTTCCAATGGTTCTCTAACTAATGTCAGCTCATAACCTAACATAGGTTTACATGCACAAAGGACATCTCTTGTTTCTAAAGTGTTTGTCCAATCATATGAATCATGAAAAAGTCATCAAACAAAATTGTATAAGTTGTTTTACGGGTTGTGTATAAGTTGTGCTTAAAATTTGACCTTAGACTTACAAATATTATTAAAACAATTAGTCCCTTTGATAAATTTGAATAAGGTATTTAGAAGACAAATTTCGCGAGTTGATATCTTCATTTCGTAGTTTCTCTCTA